ACAAATGTGTTTCAGAAAGTCTGTTTTGCAGCAGTTTGGTTCTGAATGGTCACCATGATGACTTATCCTTGATAATTCTGAAGATCTGGGTATTTTTGGGCCTGGGTCTCTATTTTGGTGGAGACCTTTCTCAAGTGGATCCCATGCAGCTTCATGTGGAAAGAGAGAGAAAATCCTGTTTGTTCTGTAATTTTAAGCCCGGTGTACACTGTGCGATTTTTTTTCAACTGTTGCACGTAGCTGCTGCTCACACTGTACGACAAATCGCAGGGTTTAGTCATACAGTGAGAGCTCACAGCTCACGATTTATGTTCGGCCCAATGCTCTCATGAGATCTACCTACTAATACTGCACGACTAAAAACCACGTCAGACTCAGCTCCGCAGTGAGATGGAACTGCTTTGTAGCTCTCTATCCTGAAGCCAAACAAATAGAAAAGGAATATGATGCTCACTACAGTGAAATATGCTGCCTTGGAAATTTGTGCATTTTGTGCTGAAAGTCCTAAAAAGAAAAGACGACGCGTACTTGGAAAAAAGACATGGCTGAGCAAACGTGGCTACTATGGTCTTTCAGTTTTACAGACAAAACTGCATTTCACTCATTGCATCCCTGCTACGCTGCTTTGTTTACATCTGAAAGGAAGAATAAAAAGAAAAATCTTTTTTTGCACATGCCCCCTGAGCGATTTGCCAAAGACGGTCACGACTTCACGATTCCTGATCGGGATGTGGTCGTGGGAGGCTGATCGCCGCACGTAACCCCCTGTACACTACACGACGCACGATCAGGCTGAAAATCGGGCTGATCGAAAGATTCTCGCACTACTAGAAAATCGCCCTGAAAATCGCACAGTGTACACCAGGCTTTAGTTGTCCTCAACAAAGAGGGGTGGTTGGTCACACCTCTGTGGGAGTTCCTGTGACTGCCTTTGGAGGCCTTGGCTGAACAGGGGGGGATTTCAGAGATCTTAAAGCTGTTTATTCACCAAAGCTGCATCCTCTTCTCTGGTCATCATTTTAAGATGAAATATGGACACTGGTTCACAATGTCCAAAAACCCTGATCATGACATATGGCACAACATAGTGCTACTTCTTCTTCAGTACAATGTTTGGGCGCTCTACCCACCTCTGCCTATATACATTCCTCGAAGGAGAACAGCAGAAGATCGTATTAGTCATTGAACGGAGAGAGATCCGAAGGCAGGATAGAGCTGCTGTGGCCTATCGTGAGTAGTTGGGCTTGACATCAAAGGACAAAGACGATGACAGGCCAAGCATAGGCTCTACAGGCTAACAGTGGAGATGGACAGAGGACTGCTGAGGATCAGAGTAATCTGTGGACAGAGTGAGTAGCGGAGTGGAATTAGAGAAGCAGCAACTGCCCCATTTCTGTTCTGGTGGTAGAATAAGAAACTTTCTAGGGCTAGAAAGTTTACAAGTGGCTTTTTAAAAGTCACTTGCAAACTTCTTAAGAGCATTCCCCACTTTATCCTTTGTAAGCATTATTTTTTGTCTTCCATTTTGATTTCTAAAAGTTTGTCTCTGCGGCCACCTCCACTAAAACCGTGGTCAATTCATGATACTTTCTCACTGTACTTAGGACAACAATATTGAAGAATTTGATCCTTTGATCTAATGTAAATAAACCTTGTCATCCGTTGACAAGATAGAGAAAACTGACGTAGCAGATTTTATTTTGTACCATGACTACCTCTGTATAGTTGGAGAGGAGATTCCGGTTGCTGCAATCCATTAGATGTGACTGAAAATTACACAATGTAGCTTTATGGTAGCAGGAAACAAATACACACGCTAAACAATTATAGCTCACTGCTTGTCATCCTGCCAGGTCATAGTTAGAAGTTAACAGTATGTAGCACTAAGACTGTGCAAGACAATAAAAGATCAAAGCAAGAAAGTACACAGCACGTCTTATTTGCATCTGTTGCTATAATAAACTAACTGAAGAACACATGTGTAGGGATGCTCTATGAAAAATAAACAACAGAAAAGGAAGATAGGAGAGACTATCAGGAGTAGGTGAAATTTTGGTTTGTGGATAAACCATAAAATTCTACTGCCTTGGAAGCTTTACTACTGCTGTGTGAAAAGTAGATACAAACAGCAGGAGGATCAAGAACAAACTTTAGACTTTTCCTTTGCCCTGTGTCCTCTGAGTGACGGCTTTTTTATCACCTATAGACACTTGATCTATCATCCATTCTTTCTTCCATCTTGTGCTCCTTTATGTGCAATTGATGCTCTGGTTGTTTTTACCTTCTACACAACCCACACAATGAAGCTACTACTTTTTTCTTTTGCTACTCGGTCACATCCAATTTTGTATACTTTTCTGTCTGATGAAAATCTTTAAAAACTAAAAATTAAGTCAAAATAAAAATACAGTATTATTAACAGACTATATATATTCTTTATCACCAGCTTGAGAAATATATTTCCACTTATGTCTATCCTGAAAAATGAAACACAAAGAATAAGCTAAATGTTGGTTGATGACTGTAACCTAATAATATCAAGGATAAATATGAACTTCAAGTGCACTGCATGTTAACTTTCACAGTAAAGTTATTCAGCATCATTACTCCTTTACATCTATTCTCTCCAACAAAGGAAACCCAGAGATCCCTCTCCACAGTGACATCCTCTAGCTTATTGGGAGGGAGAGTTAAAAGACATTCCCAGGCCAGTCCTGGGTCATTCTCAGTGTTGCTCTCAGAATGAAAAGCTTGATTCTATCCAAAGAAGGAAACCCAGGAGAGATTCTGTACTGTTTCAGAGGTCTTCTTGACAAGGAGGAGGCTTGACTCTGAACTCTGAACTCTTCACCTGATCTGTTAAGCTTATTTCACATTCCCCTCTGGAGGGTTATGGTCATTTACAAACAGCACTTCATACAGGTGTTAGGAACAGAAAATGCTTCACCATTGTTTTCTCAGAAAGATTTCAGAGTTAGCCCAGGGCACTTGTTCTTTCTTTAGTTTAGCAGTATAAATGCAGCACCTCTTTTTATTCCTATTTTAATGATTTTACATAACTCACTGTTGAACTGTAAGCTATTTAGACTGCTTTGTTAAATCATGAAACAAATGTTGCTAAAATCAGTGGTGCTATTACTTAATTGAAACAATTAAAAATTTACTAGGACTATCTTTGTTCAGGTATTCATTTTAATCCTTGTCAATCAAACAGGAAAGGATGATGAATAAATAAGCCTGATTTGTCAGGATTTTAGTAATCAGATGGTAATCAGTACGCTGTTTAATTAAAGAAACTCTCTTTGATTTAGCTTATTCCCCCTTGTCTCTCTTATATCAGGACTGGTAAAAAATAATCAATTACGTGTATTAAGAGTCTATTGCAGAAATTGCTATTATCATTACCTAGATAATAGGGAACCTAAGGAGACATAAATAACAAATCTCATGCTTTGTCAATTGACAGCCCAGACTTAATTTCCAATTTAATTTACAGTAAAGTGGGTAACTGTGATCGTTCAGTGTAGCCAACTCAAAATCGATAATGGATGCAGACAGTACCAGTTCAGACAGCTGGGAGGGGATTCGGTTGAGTTTAGTGCTGTATGTTGCTGAAGACCTGATCCAGGTTGTTGAAAAGACAAGAAGATAATCCAAAGGATTGACCAAATGTGAAGCTGGATAGCAAACATGTTGAGAGCAGGGCAGAATGGACACTAGGAATTGGAGGAAAAAGGAAGAAAATGGCAGGCAACACCTTTGAGCAAATGGCTTGGAAAAACCTGAGAGGTATTTGCAACAATCATGTCCACATCCAGTCATGTGGATATTCGATTATGGGTAATTATGGCGGCAATATGTTTTTAAAGGGGCTGTCTTTTAGTACTGATCTTGTCTCTTGTTTTTGTGAAAGCACACAAGATCCATTGTGCTTATGAGAGAATAACTGTAGAACTATCGATTATATTGTGCAGTCTTGTCAACAGTATTTCAGTTTCTGAACAGCAAATTCTACAGTGTTAAATGTAAAAGGGTAATTCCATTTAATTTCATGGAAACATATTTGAAAAGGTTCAAAGTTGTTAAAATCATAGATTGGAAAGTATCACAAGCCCCTCTGTGAAGATGAGGTATTTTCCTACTGTCAGTCTTATTTTATTGTATTTTAAGGCTATAATCAAATTAAGTGTGCTAATGACAAAAACACCATGCAAGTGTTTTCACAGCTTCCTTACTTCAATAACAACACATTTACTGCACACTCCACTAAAGGCATAAACATTTACTTCACATAAACATTTTCAAGCAATTAATTAATAAACCAGATTATGGCCAAATGAAGCCAAAATTTCTGCTTTGCAATTATTTATATTTCATTTTGTAATTCCAGCACTGCTAAGTTAAGTGAAGGCAGAATCTTGGTTTTAAAACAACTTCCCAATCAATATCCGGATAAAAAAAAGAGATATCCTTCAGGCTTGACAAAAAATGGATACTAAACTCTTTATTACACACACAAGCACTCATTTTCGATAGAAACAGCTTGACTCAGTGACTATCACATACGTGTTTCTAAACCATTAACCAGCTCCAATTAAAAAGTGAAGCAATATGTTGTTTTTCTTACAAGAGTGTTGAATACTCCTTCATCAGCCCTGTGGGAAAACACCTCTCATCTACTTCCGTCTCTTATCCCTCCAGCCATTCACATATGGCTGTCTGATGATTCACAGAGTTTGCAGTACAATGAAGGGAGCAATAACTTAAAAAAATGTTCTTTTCTTTTCACAAAAATAAATTTTTATGTAACGTATCCTGTAAACTAAAGTAAAAGTGACTGAAAACACTAACAACATTCTAAATACACTTAACTCTCCTGTACAAAAGACATGTCTTCTCTCTGTCCCGGTTCTTCTATTGCTTTACAAACGTTTTAGGGAGATATTGTCATGATAGGTTTAAGGTTTCTAACCCACATGCAGAACACACGGACTCAGGGAAAAAGTTCAACAGTTTATTTTGAAACACAATGATAATAAAGTACTGATGCAGGGGGGTATCAGGTCCAGGACTGTTCACGACTGGTTTCTCTGCAGAGGGGGACAGAAAGGTTAGCAGATATCCAGGTATGTTTGCTGGTTGAATGAGTGCAGGTCTGTACCTGTTCAGAGGTTTGAGCAAAGCGGCAGAGGAGGGGAACCAGCAGGGTCCAGAGGCTGAAGGCAGACAGAGGGCTATGCAGAGGCAGAGCTTGGTTTCTGATCTTGCAGATTCGGATCTGAGCTTCTCTTTCAGTTTCTTCTGAGAGCGGGCAGGCAGGTATCTGACAGATTGACTTTCCAGGGTTCTTCAGAGATCAGACAGACAGGTTTCAGACTGAGAAAACTCTTCCAGAGTTTCTAGGTTCAGACAGGTTCTTCCTAGGAAGCAGAGAGGACAAAAATAGATTAGGTTCAGGTTTCAGGGGAGTCGGAGATTCAGACAGGCAGGTTGGCTTAGGCTTGCTAACCATAACTGGCAAAACACTCTGGCACTGGAGTGTTGCTCTGCCTCTCCTTAAATGCTGGTCTCCTGATGAGCAAACGAGCCACAGGTGTGGTAGTCAGCTTCAGCTCCAGGAGACCTAGAACGCCCTCTGCTGGAGAAAGGTGGACAGACCTCCAGATCCCAACAGATATATGAATTGTGAAGCAGTAGAGATACTAGTCCAGAGCAAAGTAATGTCTTTCACACAGGAAAGTGACAATAACAATACCAACACTGTAAACATCCTTAATATGCCTGGGGGTGGGTGGGCAGGGAACCCCAGCTAAGCCATGACCAACCCCAGGGGCCTAGCTCCATCCCCGGACATAGCGGAGAACATAGGTGGGAAAGATCTCATTCCAGCCTCCCTCTTGCTCAGATTTTGTTTTGTTGCCTGTTGGACTACTGTGTATTTAAACAGGGGAAAGGGTAGGTGTTCCATACCACCTCGCCCAATCTAAGTGTCTAAATGTATTGCGACAAGCATTGGAGGCAAAGCCAGAACCGCCTCTACCCAACATGATGCCCTACATATGCATTTCTTTGTAATGTTATTAATGGCGCTGACTAGGGTGTTCATTGCCAATTGGGGCATAGGCCACCACCTGGATTGGAAGACCCACCCTGGTGATGATCTCTTTGCCAAGATCCTATGTGTGTTAGTGTGATAGAGCAGGTAAGGGGAAGCATCTGAGATTTGGGGAGCAAGAAACTGAGGAGTTGGGGTTCTCCCACACAGTGTCTCCCTTTTAGGAGGGCAGCTGCATGATAATATATAAAGGATGTTCCCTGCCAGTTCACAGTTGGATTACTTACATGAAAACCGCCTTCCAGGCACCATTGCAAACTGCGAAGAAATGACCGGGCCATAGGCTGCTGTTGAATGGGATTCCTACTGACAGCTCACCACTGTTGTTCAGGGGTTCTGGATGAACTCACTGCACAGATTAAGTTTTCAGGTGGACTTTCTCACTGAAAAACATATTAAACCAATAACCGCCTCTTGGTGGAAACCACAGCCACCCAGTATAATTGAATGGAGAGAGAGGGTAAAAAGTGTGCTCCTAAAGGAGAAAGTTACAGCAAGGCTACAGCTGAAGTCAGGTTTGATAAAAAAAAAAGGTTACCAATCATAGATACAATGCTAGGACTTTAATTCATCCTCCCCCTTCATTTCTGATTTCTATTTATTTTATTTTTTCTTCACATTGAATTTGTTGTTTTTTGTACTTAATGCAGTGCAGTTTTCGCTTAATGTATGTACACTAGATTTCACATTTTTTATGTTCCAGGAAGAAGTTAGGTTGTATGACACTTAAGACCACATGACAGAAGGGTAATAGCGTCTCCTCAAATGTGTTCTTAAAAATGTGTTGAATGTATGCATCTTGATCAATTACATGTGAAATAAATAGTTTAAAAAAATACACCCAATTGGAGAGACTGTTCTCCACTACTTCATATAAGAGCAAGTTAATATGGCTTTAAGGCTAACACAATTAAATTCAGTTTAGTTGTGTTAGCCTTAAAGCCATATTAACTTTTGACATTAGAGAAGCAAAATACTTTTGCTCCTCTTCATTTTGCGGCACCACCCCCTCTCCAAAACACTCACAGAGCAACATGCAATTCTGCCCACAACTGCTCCTGGGGCAAAAACACCCGGTACATGCTTCCTAGTCCTCTTTTCCTGTGGCTCTCCAGGCGACCTCATTGAAGAGACCTCATGAATAAAATACCGTAAAGGCCAGAGGAATCAGAGCCTTCTATGTGTCAAGTGCATCTCAGAATCTGATCCTGAAAAACTGCTATCCTAAACATTTCTCTCAGACATTACGGGAATGACTTAGAGGTAGCAGAACCAAATCATGTAGTAATGACCACCTATAAGGACATAGACAATCTGTTAAGCCAAGAAATATTTTATTTTGGACATTGCGGACCAGTGTCCATGCAGATAATAACCTTGATTGTTGGTGTGGGAGGATGCATTTTTTTTTCCTCTGCAGTTAGACTCTCCACTCCAAATTCTACAAACACTCCCCTCATAAGGCCTTCTTCCATGAGACTTCCATTAGGATATGTGACCCTGACCCCCCCGCTATATTACACCACCTTTCAACTTTTCCCAAAACATGATAACAATTGTCTCTGATTCAGTCACAAATATCTACATTATAAACAGCATCCCTACTACTTAGAGGAGAGCAGCTTTGCTACCATCTGTTAGAGCAAACGTAGCTGTCGAAGACTGCTACAGGTGAAAACAAAAATATTTTATTTATTTATTTTATTTATAATTCAGAGTTTGACGTATTACTTGTCCTTGCAGGTGCTGGAGTCCACCTTGGCCTGGACCTCAAGAGAAGCCCAAAATACAGCCAACTGCTGGGTTTCCTTAGCAGATCTCTGTTAATTCTTTGCTGCTATGCTTGCTTGTGTACTCTGTAATAATAATGCTCTTCCTTTGTTTTCCTTTTCCATCCCCCCATGCTTACTGCCCACGAGTTATGCCACTGGTGACTCACTGGTTCATTCAGAAAAAAACTGCTTTTCTGTGGTGACAGACACGAACCGGTGTTCCTGCTCTGAAACCTCTTTTGTTTGATCAAAACAAGCACAACCCATTCGCAATCAGGTTCGCTTTGGTTTCCCTTTGGGGGAAAAGCTCTATATGTAGTAGAAATAACAGAGTATGCAAAAAAAGCAGAAAGACCAGTAAAAGCCAGATGGGAATAGCACAGGCAGAAATTATTTGCAAAATTCTTGGCTTCTGTTAAGGAAGAAAATATTCTAAAATAGTTAACTTTGGAAAAAGTTTGGCTCTCTCTCTTCCTCTAGATCCCAGGCCCTCCCGGCGAGCCGCGTGTGGCCACAAGGAAACCAACAATGCGTGTGGACGTCACAGAATCACAGAGTTTAATCCAACAAGAAACAGCTTATGAATTAACAACAAAACTGCAGAACAACAGAAACATACATTCAATTACCTGAGTTAAAGAAAATAGAAAAGAAAGGCAAAGACGCGTCTTTGGAGAGAGCTGGTGCAAAAAAGGCAAAATAGTGGCAGCTATCTGAATTATTACTCGTGTGCACCAACTTTTATAATGTAGGTGTGTCTTTTCTTTTAGTATATTCAGTTAAGGCGTCCCTCCGCTTGACCAATTGGAAGCTACCTTGGACACTCAGAAAAACTTAGAACTTCCCCTAATTTACGGCAAAAATCAAAGGCCATTTGCTCCTTTGTTTAACAAAAAGAGCGGAGAGCTTGTCCTGGCCTCCAGGATTCTAAGGTCATCTGGCTAAGGAAAACACAAGATAAGATTTCACAGATAGCTGTGGAATCCGGAGCCTCTCCTGCTATCTCTCCTTACATAAATTCTCAGGAACAAACTCAAATTCAGTAATTTGGTTCAAGGAAAGGTTATCTTCACAAACCCAGGTTTGCTCTTCTGCACAAGATTGAGTCCTGCCTTAAACCAAAAATAACACATAGAATCAACAGAACATGAGGTACAATTCCTTTTTCTAACCTATGAAACATAATATTCAATCCTAAGTATACAAGCTAACACATTTTCCAAAACCCCATTTAGCATAGATCCTGAGCAATTTTCTAATACTAAACAAAACATTTTCATTCAAACAATTTCCATTTGATTCTGATATTGTCACAGATAGTACAATTTTCAAATACATTCATCATCTACTAAACTAGTTAATTCTAAAACTAGATAATACAATTTTCATTTAAAAAACATGCTATTAGTACTTAGAAAAATGTCTTAAAAACTAAATGTTAGTGTTTTAACATTCTACGTTGTATTCAGTTTTACACCATCCCAGATGTTAGTTCTGGAAGACTTTTGATCTTCTGTGAACCAAGCAGACTTCTCTCCTCGAGGCTCAAATGATGCTGCCCTCCAGGAGATACTCATTTTATGGCCTCCTGTCCTCTCTGATAAACAACAGGAGCCTCATTGCGAGATCCCCTTTGATCTACATTTTCCTTCCTGTACTTTGAATACTTACCCATAACACAAACTTGTTCAAAATTAAGAAATATGTTCAAAATGAGAGTGTTCAACATACCTTTTACACATGCCATAAGATTAACTGTATTAAAAACTAAAAATAATAATTTTTCCTTAACACTTTATTCATGAATAACCAACTGATAAGCAACTTACTGCCTATGGTGTCCAGAAGTTTAAGTTTTTGGAGATTTGGTAAACATAATGATAAAAGATAAAACACACTGAAAAATCATTGGTAAGCCAAAAAAACGTAAATAATAACTCAGTGACCTTAAGGTAGAAACATGAGCAACTCTTGATTGCCTTTCAGGTACTATACCTACATTGAAATTCTTTATAACATTTATTAAGATCTGATAGACAAATTTTATTTTATACATCTACACTTTGAATTCTGTATGTATTTCATAAGAGAAATCTGTTTCCAATTTGTATGATGCGAATCACATATTTATAATAAAAATATGATAGGAATCTTCAAGGTTGTTAGAGGAATATGGAGCATAACGCAGCATGCTGTCCAAAGCAATAAGAAGATGTAAACCTGTGTGCGAGTGAGTGTTTGTGTGTCCCAGAGAGAGAAAGATCATGTGCAGTATAATCTATATCAGAGAGACGGTTTGGGGATTTACTCCACAGCACTTAGCTCTGCAGGGTTTAAGGGGCATATGTCCAAATTCCCTGCAGCACCACTGGTCATGATGAAGGAGGCAATTTAAAGTTGCTCTTATTTTTCTGTACAGCTCTGTATATGAAAGAGGAGTAAAGTACAAAGATATGCTGCAGTACATAGAGTACATAGGCTGCATAGGAAAAAGGGAAAG